GGCTGGCTCGTGCCATGCCAGGTGCAGGGTCTGCTGGCTGGGTGCTGGCAGGCTTGCACCTGGCACAGGCACCGTAGCCAGACCGTATCCCTTTAAGGGCTCCGGGGCCCAGAGGGGGGCAGAAGAGTTTCCCTGGTGGTGCCCAGAGTGGCCACCAGGGAAAGCTGGGGAGGGCTAGCCTCCCACTAGTTCGAATTAAGTGGCTACACAGCCCTTAATTCGAACTACTTAATTCGAACTAGGCGTTAGTCCGCGTGGAATGAGGTTTACCTAGTTTGAATTAAGCGCTCTGCTAGTTCGAATTAAGTTCGAACTAGCGGTTTGCTGTTAGTTCGAATTAACTTTGTAGTGTAGACATACCCTTTCTCTGCTATTTATTTGTATCCTGGAACCCTTAACTCCATTCATCTGAAGAAATGAGCTGTGCACACAAAATTTCCTGATACCATCTACATTTTTTCTTAGTTTCTAAGGTTGTTCAGGACTATTCATTGTTGTTGTTTTTTTAAGTTTTCTCATACGTCATATTTTCTAGACCTTTAATCATTTTTGTTGCTGTTCTCTAGACCTTCTCCTATTTCTTCACATCTTTCTTGAAATGTGGTGCCCAGAACTGGACACAATACTCCAGCTGAGGCCTATGCAGCACAGAGTAGAGAGGAAGAATGACTTCTCATGTCTTGCTCACAACACTCCTGTGAATGCCTCCCAGAATCATGTTTGCTTTTTTGCTACAGTGTCACACTGTTGATTCATGTTTAGCTTGTGGTCCACTCTGACCCCAAGATTCCTTTCTGCAGTTCTCCTTCCTAGCCAGCCACTTCCCATTCTGTATGTGTGAAATGCGTTGTTCCTATCTAAATGGAGTACTTTGCATTTGTCCTTATTAATCTTTATCTTATTTTGCTCAGACCATTTCTCTAGTTTATCCAGATCATTTTGAATTATGATTCTGTCCTTCAAAGCACTTGCAACCCCTCCCAGCTTGGTATCATCTGCAAACATAATACGCGTACTTTCTATGCCATCATCTAAATAATTGACAAAGATATTGAACAGAACTGGTCCCAAAATAGACTCCTGTGGAACCCCACTTGTTATGGCCTTCCAGCATGATTGTGAACCATTAATAATTACTGTCTGAGAACAGTTATCCAGCCAGTTATGCACCCACCTTACAGTACCCCGCCTCAGTTGTATTTCCCTAGTTTAATGATAAGAAGATCATGTGAGACTGTATCAAATGCCTTAGTAAAGTCTAGGTATACCACATCCCCCTCTTTTCCTTTATCCACAAGACTTGTTATCCTGTCAAAGAAAGCTCTCAGCTTGGTTTGACATGATTTGTTTTTTATCAGTCCATGCTGGCTTATCATCTTGCCTTCCAGATGTTTGCAAATGAATTTATTATTTCCTCCATTATCTTCCCTGACAAAGAAGTTAAACTGATTGGTCTGTGGCTTTCTAGGTTGTTCTTATTTCCTTTTTTATAGAGAAGCACTATATTTGCCCTTTTTCAGTCTTCTGGAATCTCTCATGACATGCATGACTTTTCCAAGATGATAGCTAAAGGCTCAGATACCTCCTCTATCAGCTCCTAGAATGTTCTAGGATATGTTTCAACAGGCTCTGGTGACTTGCAGACATCTAATTTACCTCAGTAATTTTTAACTTGTTCCACATGACGGCTTGTAGCAGAGATGGAATAAATAAGCTGCTATCTTAAAAATCTCTGGAGCATATCCTTTGGATCGTCAGACCTTCCGGGCCCAGTTCATATCAAAGCTGCTTCCAAAGTGATGAGCTGGAATGAAGATAAATTGAGGAACCTCTAGGGCCCCTTTTATAACTTTGACCATTGGAAGGAATCCCATTGCTCCCCTTGTGTGAAAGTACCTCCCGAAATGGAGGGTGTCACATGGGCAAGTCAACTGTCACTGTCCTTTTTGGGCAAGTAGCCATGGTGACCTGCTGCTCTGCCGGTTCACAGCAACATTGCTTGGATGTGGATCGGCACCACTGAAGTGCGATTCACTTGACTAGACGCCCTTCAATGACAGGTGGGCAAGGCCTCTTGAAATCTCTCAGGAGCAAATATTTGGAATACAGTGAACCCTCGTTTATCGCGGTAGATAGGTTCCAAACCCGACCGCGATAGCTGAAAATCCGCGAAGTAGGGACACCATATTTACGTATTTATTTAACATGTATATTCAGACTTTTAAAACCCTCCCTTTACGTAGTACTGTTAACAAACCACCCTTTAATGTACAGAACATACGTAATGAAAAAAGTCCGCGAAGTCGTGAATCCGCGATGGTCGAACCGCGAAGTAGCGAGGGCTCACTGTATCTGCACAGAGCCAACATTTGTAAAGAAATCCCCCACTTCACCATGGGGGTCCGGCCTGGGATTGGTGGGGAAAGCATCCAGGGGACTCTCCCTGGAGCCCCTGGGGCCGGGCTGCGGGGGTCTGCGTTTCACGGCCTGTCTCCTCCTGCCTGCAGATCTTAAACCCAGCATCTCCCTGAGCCCCAGTGAGGGGTTCGCCCCAGGGGGAGCTGTGACCATCCGGTGCCGGTGCAGGTCTGGGGGAGGGCGGGTCCTGCTGAGGAAAGCTGGAGACCCGGCTGCGCAGCGTGCGATGGATCCCACCGGGGACATGGCTGAATTTCGCATCCGCAACTTGAGCCGGACAGATGCAGGGAACTACAGCTGCCAATGTGGCGCCCGGGGGGACCCAAACATCTGGTCAGAGCCCAGCAACCCCGTGGAGTGTCCTGGCTCCCAGGTGGGGATGTGGAGGGTTCAGGACGTGGCTGAATTTCGCATCCGCAACTTGAGCCGGACAGATGCAGGGAACTACAGCTGCCAATGTGGCGCCCGGGGGGACCCAAACATCTGGTCAGAGCCCAGCAACCCTGTGGAGCTGGTGGTGGCAGGTGAGGGGCCTGGCTCGGCATCCCCGCTCCCAGCCCCACACCCAGATGGACCATCGGGACATTGAGAGGGGATTCCTGGCTGGGTGGTGGGGATGGAATCACAGCGGGGGGTGGGGGCAGCAGCTTCCAGAGGGTGACGGCCAAGGCTGGGGGATCCCTGCCCCCAGGGGGGTTGCACAGCAGGAGTCTTTTCCAGAGGGAGGCTTCCCCGGTTGCCCCGCTCTGGGGACACACAGAGCAGCCACGGCCCAGGGACTGCCCGGCTGGAACCGCCCAGCACCAAATTCCCTCCCCACCCGGCCTGACACTTAAAGCCGCAATAAACTCTGGGTCATGGGGCGAGCGGCCCAGTCGCTGAGTCACTGTGTCAGCCCCTCCCCCTTTTAGCTCGGTGCTTGGTTCTGTCCCTCCCCCGTCCCAGCCGATGCTCATTTGAATCCCACAGTGCGGACCCAACCCAGCTGGGCCCCAGCAGCTGGATCCCCCCACAACAGCACTGCAGGGAGAAAGTGAGCGGGAGAAATGGAGCAATTCATCCCCCAGGCACAGGGCTTCCCGCTCAGACACCCATGGGGCCATTCCGGCGTTTTGAGGGGGACGGTCCCTGCACAGAACTGACAGGCTCAGCTCTTCTGTCTAGCGGGGGATGGACAGACCCTGAAGATGCTCGGCTGCGGGGCAGTGGGGATGTGGGGCCCTGGGAGCGCAGGGATGGGAGCACGTCTGGGGAGGGACAGACAGACGGACTCAGATCGTGTCTGCATGAGACCTGGGCCTGTAATGCCAAATCCCGTGTGGTTCCCAACTCCCCTGGGGAGCTCAGAGCCAGTCTGGGCTGTGGGAATTAGTGCCCAGGTGTGACCCAGCCCGTGGGGCAGCCAAGCTCCCCTGAGCTCTGTGGGGCAGGGAGATCTTCCCCTGCAGTAGGGACACTACACCCAGCCTGCCCCCGCAGGGACTCCATTTCTGTGTCCCATGTCCTTTCAGCACTGAACACGCAGGGCAGCTGGCCCAGGACAGGGCTCCTGGTGCTCAGCACGAGTCGTTAGTGCTTGTGGTTTCCATGGAGCTAGGCAGGGGCTGTATCTTGCTGGGACCCATCCTGGGTTCCCAGTGGCGCTGATCCGGCCCCAGTCTCTGTGTCCCATCCTCCCTCCAGGGAGCCGGCTCAGCCCATGATCTATAGATATACCCTGTGTAACTAGCCACAGATACCAGGGCTCCGGCTTTCTCACACCATCCCCGCCCCTGAGGCCTAGACAGACGCTGGTTCCGTTCCCACAGGGGGAACCAACATGACTCAGCTGAGAACAGCGCCGCCGTTGACCCACCCAGGCAGCATGGAGCCAGGCACCAGGCCTGGGGACAGGAGATCCACATCGCCACCCCGAGCAACAGGTACATGCTACATGAGGAGCCGCTCCCTGGTGAAGCCATGAACAGCTGCTGGGTGGGATGGTGGGGAGCAGATTCCAGGGGAACAGATCCTCACAAGAAATGTCCCGTCTGGGCTGAGACCTGCCTGGACTCATTTCATGTCACTGGACAGGTGCCAGATTGGCTTGGCAGGGGCAGGGCCCAGGAGAGCTTTCCCTAGCACACAGCCCCTCCCTAGGGGACCCTAAACTGGGGCACTCTGCTGCCCATCAGCACCACAAAGCCACCCCTGAGGGCCACAACTCAGTGCACATTGACCAAGGAGAATGGGGTGGAGGATGGGGAGCCAGGGTTAATGGTCCCATGTATCTCGTCTGTCTACATGAGGCTGCAGAGAGCCTGGGGAAACAACCCAGAAGCAGGGCTTGGGGCTGCCCCAGAGGGCATTAACCCTGGGACCTACTGAGCCAGATAGAAATGGAGTTAGCACTTGGACCCACCCCCCAATTCACAGAGACACACTGTTGACTCTGGAACCTAATGATGATGGTTGAGGCAGCAGCACCATTATGTCATCTGCTGCTGATCACTTCAGTAGGTCACAGTTCTCCCAACAGTCTCAAATCCCCTCCCCAGGCAAATACAGAGGTGAGCTGCAGCTGCTGAGGAAATCCCAGGAGAGGGGCAGGTCCCATGGGGGCTGAGCTGTGGGAACTCGTTTCAACCAGTGTCCCAGAGTACATGGGGCCTGAGGTACATCCTCCCTGTCCTGGCCCCCAAGACAGCCCCATATCTTTGCCCCCCATCCACATTCCCCTCTCTTCATACCCACCACTAGCCCTATTGCTGGGCAGCAGGTATTGCACCCACTGCTCACGGCCTCTTCCTGCTTTCCAGGTGGGTGTGAACTGAATTGGAGTGGCCCCATCATCACTGGAATGATCGCGGGGAGCCCTGGATTCCTCCTTCTCCTCCTCCTCCTGGCCTTCATCTGCTACAGACGCACTCGAGCTAGTGAGTGCCCCAGCGAGCGAAGGGTGAAACCTGCTGCTCAGCAAGGTTAGGAAGAAGCAGGGCTTGGATGGGAGTCAGGCCAGGAATGCAGGAGGTGGGGCAGGAGGCTCAGGAGGGGCCCTGGCTCTCAATGCTGGCCCCAAAGCCCCCACAAAGGGGCTGCAGTGTGGGGTAGGGGGTCTCCTAATAGTGTGTGGGGATCTGTAAGGGGCACTGTGCTGCAGGGGGCAGGGCTCAGCCAGTCTCTGGGGTACCCAGCTCCGTGGCTGGAGGGGTCATGGCTCCTCGGCACAGCAGGGTGGAGACTCCCATCCCGGCTGCCCTGTGGACTGGCATATGGGGACCCGGGGCCATTCATGGACTATTCTGCTTCATGTCTCTGCAGGGAAGGAACCAGCTGCGAGACAGAGCAGGTGAGACCCCAGTTCTGCCCCCTCCCTCCCAATCTACCTGCCTCAGGACACCTGGGTTCTCTCCCCAGCTCTGGGAGGGGCCTAGTGGTTAGAACAGGAGGCTGGGAGCCAGGACTCCTGGGCTCTGTTACTGACTCCCTCTGTCCCCACAGGGAATCTGAGGCTGAAGACACAGTGTGTAAGTTTGACATGGGGTGTGTCCATAGAGAGCGGAGGGGAGGGGTGTCTCCTGGGGTGGGGGGACATGTTAATGTGGGGCTAATGACCCTGCTCCAACTGGGGACAAGCAGGCCAGTCTGTGAAGGGTTCACTGGGGGGCTGGGCCTAGAGCCTCATCCAGGCCCAGCCCATCACCGGGGGGGGCGGGGTGTGTCTCTGTTCCACAGACGTCCTCATGGGCCAGCGGAAGCAGCAGGATGTCCTGGTAAGTGTCCCAACACCCAAGGCCCCTGATCTCCCTGCCTTGCCCCCCCCCCCCCCCACCCACGC